GAGAAAGTGTCCTCCATAAGTCAAGCAAAAATTTTGCTAGGAGTCAAGTACAAAAGCTTTTTCTTCAAAGAGAAAAGATGAGATGTAGTTTAAAGAGATACTTCCAGACAGAGAAGAAAAAGAGTTCAAGTCTAGGATGAATACAGCTTGGATATATGAGGCAGTTTCTTCTCTTGGTGGCTCAGCAAGGATGGAAACCTCCCTCCTGAGAATACGCTGCCACAGGGACCGAGCACATTTGTTTCAATCTGATGTGAGAGACGAGGATCTTCAGCCAAAGCTGGGAGAGCAAAAAACTATTTTCTTCGCCACATAAAATAAGGACAGAAAGTTGTCTTCTAAAGAAGAGATTGTTACCAGTCTATTCACTGCAGTCCTAGCGCTCCAGAAAGCAAAAAGGAGATCTTTCTGAAACAAACTAGCAAAGAAAACCAAGAAAATGAGTTGCAAAGTGTTTTAAGGAGGCTCTGTGCCTGCCCAGGAACAAGCTCAGGCTGGACTCCTCGCTCCTTCCAAGAGGAGCTGTAGAAGAAATGAGAACTTTGGCAACACTGAACCACTGGGGTTTTTTTTCCCCACCTTTTTTTTTTTTTTTACATTCAAGTATTTTGACACCAGACCAAAAGGGCTTGCTGTTTTCGACTTAGATCTGCCGATGTTGAAGGAGCAGAAGGTGTAGCCCAGTTTAGCATTATCCATGACAGCTTTAAATAAAACAGGTACGGTCCCACCACCATCGCCTGCCAAAGCACCAGCACAATTCCCTCTCCTCATGGTGCATCACTAAATCAGTGTCATGACTAAATGAACTTTGATGGCAATGTAGCACCTGAAGGACTTTCCTGGAGCTTTCGGCGATTGAGTCACTCAGGAGGCATGTCTGATGTGACCCAAGAAGACCTGCCCATGGGGACACAGTTACATACCTGACTGTAACCAATGGGAACTTCTCATTCTTCATCATATCTTCAAAATAACTGCGTGTGTTTTGTTTAAATCCATAGTTGTGCTCCTTACCCATGAACGCAGTTATAAAATGTTCGGGTTTTTGTTTAACTTTTTAGAGAAGAGAAAAAAAATATACCCTCAAGCAGCATATAATTCAGACTAAGAGCCAGACAGTTTTTCAAAAGTTCTTAATCAGAATTACATCTGAATACACAAAAATAATACCAAGTGACCTCTAGGCCTGTATTGAAATTGCAGAGATGAAGGAATAAGATGCACACATCCATGACCACTAATATTAATTACTACCAAATACTGAATGAACGTGTCCATCTGGATCCTGGCAAGGGTACAGCAAAGGGCTACAAAGACGATTGGGAGGGGGACTAGAACATCTCTCATGAGGAAAGGCTGAGGGATGGGGCCAGTCTTTCTTCAGCGGTACCCAGTGACAGGACAAGAGGTAACAGCCACAAACTTGAACATAAGAAGTTCCATCTCAACATGAGGAGGAACTTCTTTCCTGTGAGGGTGGCAGAGCCCTGGAAGAGGCTGCCCAGAGAGGTGGTGGAGTCTCCTTCTCTGGAGACATTCAAACCCTCCTGGACACATTCCTGTGCAACCTGCTCTGGATGGACCTGCTCTGGCAGGGGGTTGGACTGGATGATCTCCAGAGGTCTTTTCCAACCCCATAGCATTCTGTGATGTGTGAGCTGAGACCGGCATCCACCCTTTGCAGATGGTCCCAAACAGAATGAGTGGTGGGTGAGAGACAGGGATGGAGATGGGAAAGACCCAAACACCCTGATCATGGCAGGTGCCAGTCACTGGTGTCCACTCACAGGTTTCTGTAAATGCTCTGCAGCCACCCAAGACCTTTAGTTTGGATCTCCTTTACAGAAGATGCATCAAGTACCTCTTGAACCCCTAGGACCAAGCTGTCAGAAGATTTCGTCAAAGTTATCTGAGATCATGAGAAATTGATAATGATATTTTGAGACTTCTTTCTCAGATAAGCCACCTGATACGTGCAGATTCATAAGAAGCATCTGGCAACCTCTGATGGAGCCTTTCTGCAAAAACAAAACTAACGGTGCTTTCAAGACTGCAGAAAGTCCATAAAAATAACGTGACCACCCCCTCTCCTCTCACACAGCCCAACTCTCTGGCTCATTCACCACTTATATCTCGCTAATTAATTATTGCAGTAGCAGAAAACGTGGCTCCAAGTGCTGCTGAATGCCACAGCTAACTGGAAAATGAAAAACAGGAAATTACCAGAGAGCAAGATTTCCCACCCAAGTGTTGCTATTAAAATTTCCCAACCAGCCAGCAAGTCGATAAAGGAGATAAATGAGGATACAAAGATTTTTCTGTTGGCTTTTTTTTCAACAATTCATTTTCAAGCTACACAGATATAGTGCCTTTTCAAATTTTAAATTAGAGGCTGAAGACTTAAATTAACCCTTAGGAAGTGCTCTTGATCCAAAACTAACATGGAACACAACTTCAATATTGTTTTTTCTATTTAGCTTTACAAGTCAAGATGCTTCCAAAGTGATTTCTCACCCATATAGTATTTGAGAAATGTAAACATTTCACTTCTTTCCTTAACCACATTTGAGGGTTTCATCAAAAAACGAAAACCATTTATTTCTTGCTCTAACAATAAAATGTTGTTTTCGAAAGGGAACATCATCTGGTTTCCACAGGTTTGTTTTTGACAGTTGCCTAAATCCGTAAGAAAAATGCATTTCCTTTTGCAATTTTACTAAATACGTGTTCACTGAAAAAAACAAAACATGTTTTGATAGAAAATGTTGGCTAAGTACTCGTGATCCTTACAGTTCCTATTGGGTCCTCTGAGCATAAGCGTCTCATGGGCAATTATTCATGAAAATACACCCACCCCCAATATTCCTGCTCACCACTGCCCAGAGTTCTTGACATTGAACACACAACATACAAACTATGAAGTAAATATTCAACAAACACAAAACCAAACCAGAAAATTTCAACTAAGAAAAGACAAAATTAGTTTAACCTACTTGGAAATTTTGACAGGAACATTTCAATTTCCAAGCTTTTCTTTGGGGTACATAGGTTTTTCTCCTATTTTTGCACAACCAGATCCAATCTTTGCTGGCACCTCAAGCTTACCACAGCAATACTGTCTGCCTGCAAATATTTGATCATTAACATATGAAAAAACCCAGTGAAATAACAGCCTGCATATGAAGGGAAACCACCCAGGATTTAATCCCAGCTGGAACCTGAAGTTTGTATTTTCCATAAAGACATCATCTGTATTTGAGGCATATTAAAAAGCATCTTATGATGTAAAAACCAAAATTAAACCCTTAATAAATCCCAGACAGGAAATCCGAGAACACACATTAATAGCTAAACTAAACATGATACAAGGAAAGAGACATAACTCAGAAGGAAGTCTCAATGAAATTAAAGAAAAATCAAAATTTCCAAACACTGTCTCAACCCTTCCTGTTCAGACCATGTCCCATCCCAGCCCCAAGACTGCTCTTCCTGCCAAAATCAGTTTCACAGCCATGCCTAAAATTAAGCATTAAGGAGAATCTGATACATGGATGCTGGGGTAAGAAAGAAGTGCTTAAATGACATCCAAGAGCCATAAATATTTGCAAGACCAGCCCGTTTTGCCCTGAGAACTGCCGAGACCGGGTGTCCTGCCCACTCCTCCCTCCAAACCTCCAGCCAGACCCATCACCAACACTGGATGCTTGGACCTTGCTTATAATCAGGCATTAAGGTTGCCTCCTCATTTATTGGACTCCAACATATTAATGAGCAATTAATTCCTAATTCAGTAATTGTTCATAAAGGATTTACAAATTTGGCACTGGTAAGTTACAGCTCGTTAAGCACATCCCGAAGCGAACTGCACACACGAGGCAAGAAAATCCCCCAAAAGGCAGCTGTTCCCCTCCACCAATCCCACAGAAATTGTCACTGCTTGGGTCTCTGAATTAACATGTATCCTGAGATTCACCTGAGAGAGAGAGGGTACTTTTCGGGAAACATGAGCCCAATGCTTATATAGTCATAAGACAATCAAGGACTCATGAGACTAAAGGGCTAACTTCCAGCTCTAGCTATTTTTTAACTATTATGTGGCACATAAACATATTTGTTTACACGACACTACTCGCATTAGAACAGTCTCCAAACGTATGCACAAAGACTTTCTATCTTTGGAGCATTTCAAACAGATTTTGAATAATCTGAAGCATACACAAAACCACAGTTTGAGGCGTTCAGGTCTTCTCACTTTCCAACAGCTGAGTCCAGTCACACCATTTATGCAGCCAGATGCAACGTTTGCCATTAAACCTACAACAACGAACTACCAGATGACAAGCCAGAGCCGTGTCATCTCACCAGCCCATTCACTGACACTGGAGCCTATGCAAGTCAGAATTGCATTTATTTATTTTTTTTAATTCCACTTTGTGCATTTATTGCCATACAGGGTTTTCAATTGTTTCCTCTTTTTCTGTCAATACTTCATATATTTTTTCACTGCCCAACATTTCAAGTGCAGCTTTAAAACTGCATATCACAGGAACATAAAGAGACTGCCATTTAGAAGAAAAAAAAAAAAGCAGCAACTAAAGCAAAATAGCAAAAAACATCTGTAGTTCTTCCCATATTATTTTTGAGAGCAAGTGTAACCAAAAGTACAAGAGATCTACATACTAGATCTTCACCCTACACAAGATGCAGACAAGTCTCCCTCCAATATCTAATCAGGCTGAGTTCTACCTGAGTTTTGCCTTTCTCACCAAATTATTATGATTTTTTTAAAAGATATTTTCATACACGAGCAGCTCCACCTGACTTCATTGAGGGCATCTACAAGTCTTCCAGCCATAAACACTCCCCAAACCTGCAGAACCTGCCCTAAAGTACCATTAAAAACTGGACTTCACAACGAGCTGGTCACATCTTTGTAACACCAGATTATAAGAAATTAATAAAAAGCATAGTAGGAACTTCCCAAGGGGTTTACTTACAGTACACGTCCACTCGTATGGACTTTATGGCTGGCGAACCCAAGCCGTTCTCAGCTTTGCAGTAGTAGCGTCCCCCTTGGTGTCGCTGGATGTTGGATATCCTCAGGGTTTCATTGAAGACACTCGAATCTTGAAATCTGTCAGAGGCACTTCCTGCTGTTTTGGTCCACCTGATCTGAGCAAGCACCAAAAAAGATTGTTACTTTAAGTCTGTAAAAGTGAGTAGAGTATAGATCTCTTCATCAAACCAAGAATGCGTGGTGGCCACGATTTTGTGTTGGAGGAACTTCTCCAGAAAACTGAGTAGCTCACGTTTACAATCAAACACTTACCCACGAGACCCTCAACAGTAATCTAGTGTTTATCACCCTCTCTTTGAAATAGCTGATTACTTTTGATGGAAACACCCCATAAAAAAAAAAAAAATAAAAATAAATGTCACCAGCAGAGATATGGAGAACAACTCACGCCAACCAGTGACACACAACTAGAACAGCTGCAGAAAAATTCCCTATGAACAGCAACAAGCAGAGCTCACCAGAAAAGGTGTCATTTACGGCAATTACAGCGTCCTTTACTCTGGTAATTATTTTCTGAAAGTGAAGGCATTTAAAGAGAACTTGCTAATTCCAAACCCACAAAAATGGCAGTAACAGCCGACTACAACCAGCAGCCGCCTGGAGAAGAGAAGGTTCCAGGGAGACCTTAAAGGAGGCTTATAAGAAAGATAGGGACAAACTTTGTAGGTAGGCCTGTTGTGACAGGACAAGAGTTAATGGTTTTAAATTAAAAAGAGGGCAGATTTAGACTAAATATAAGGAAGAATTTTTTTTAGAATGATAGTTGTGAAACAGGAACAGAAACACTGGCCCAGGTTGCCCAGAGAGGTGGGAGACGCCCCATCCCTGGAAACATTCCAGATCAGGTTGGACTTGGCTCTGAGCAACCTGATCTAGTTGAAGATGCCCTTAAATGTCCCTTCCAACCCAAACCGTTCTATGATTCTATGATAAAAATGAGATTGACACAAGATAAAATAAGAAATATTTGGCTATTGTCCTCAAAGATCGCCCAAAGGTAGTCAGAAAAGCCATGATTTAAAGAACACCATTTAGACACTGATTTGTTGGGATCTCCTAGACAGGCTGTCTACAAGAAAACTGGAGCTGCTATTGGCTTGTTTTGGACAAGGTGTTGCAGGCTTGGCATCTGAGACAGACCATGCCTGGACCAGCAGTGAGTGCCTGTCTCCTCTCCATGCCCAGCCAAGGATATGTTGTGCTTCCAGCCTTCCAGGAAGGTCCCATGGCTGAGCCATGCAGCTCTTGGTGGACATCAAGGCGGCCCAAAGAGTTGCCTTGGCTGCTGGAGGGAGGTCATTCAGGGTGGAGAAACACCATACTCAGTCCTGACCCAGAACTGGGGTCCGGATCCCCATAACCTACACAAGAGCACGGGGTTGACAAGGGTCAGCCTTTCTCTCACTGGGAGCTTCTCCTGGACAGGAGAGACCTTCTACACAAGGCACTGAGCTGAAAAATTCATGACCAGCTGTAGCTCATGTAAATTCTCCTCCGCTTGAAACGAGAGCAGGCGTGGGCTTCAGAGGCTGAAATTATAGCAAACCAGACTTAAAAAAAAAAAAATAAAAAAAATAAAATTCATCTCTCTCTGGCTTGTTTAATTCATAAGCCTGAGTGGCTCTGCCCTCCTGCCAGGTGACCTGCACAACTCTCACACGGCTGTGCTGCTCTGGGATAAAGCAAATATATGCCAAGCTCCCCTTCTCCAGCATTCGGTCTGTGCGAGAGAGACGCTATTAGCGCTGCTATATTTACCAGTCTCAATCTGTCTGTACTTCTATTCTAAACTCTTGGCTCCGGGGCTTTTAGAATCATCCATATAAATGTGCTGCAGGATAATTTTGGAAGACGCGCTCAGCTTCTGCATGCTGCAGGATACAATTTCAAATGCTTGGAAAGTGTTTTAAAATAGTATTTAAGATGTTCACTGAACCTCTTGTGTGGTGTATTTCCCCTTTATGCAATCAGAATTGTAAAAGCAGCTCTGCTTGGGTTTTAACTGGAAAAAAATAAAATTAAGAGCATCTTGTTTGAAGCATTTACTTCTGTCTTCCTCCTATTCCTCTCCCACAAAAAGCCTCCAGTGGAATGCAGTGTGCCCTGTCAAGAGAACATGTAACTTAAATAACGTGTTGTAAGTATTATCAGCATCTGTGTAATTGGTAATGTTACATAACTTATACAAAAAAATTAGAGCAAAGCTTAATTAGATACTGGGAGAACCAGGACCTAACAGATACCATCAGAGTTTTATCTTTTTTATGAATGCAAAAGCCTTCCCTCTCCACTGCATCTTAACATCGACATATATCTATCTGCTCTTTATTATAAGGAATTTTAACAGGGTCCTGTTTGGCTGTAAACAGAAATGGACTTTTCAGCTTTAAAAAAATAAAAATAAATATACATGTTTTAGAGGAAAGAAGGGTAATTTTAACAAATTAAATAGTTTTGCAGTGTATGTAGAGATCCCTGAAGAATAAAAGGAATACCCTCGAGTAGATTCTCTCTTACAAGACATCCTCCAGGAATGCCACTGGTCTGATTTAACTTCAGGTCATTAATTACCCCAGCTTTAACTCAACATACACACACCCCCCACGCTGATCAATAGTGCATCAAAATTCACGGAAAGCACCAGGAAGAAAGCTGTCTCTCAAAAACACCGTGCTAATGCAGTGATCAAAGACCCAGGCACAAGAAAGCCAGATGTCTGAGAGACCTCTTCAGAGAGGTCCTCAGTGGTTTAGTCCCCTGCAAGCTCCTGTCCACGCTTTGGGGTGACCTCTAATGGTGATGAAGAGGCTGAGACCATCAAATCTATCTTTAGAGATGGAGCATCTCATGGCTCAAAGTGTCCAAACCCTCACCGGTGCTTCACACGGTGACCTTCAGAGCAACCGCGGCCGCAGCACTGACATTATCCCCACATTTCCAAGGTGGGGAGTGGAGGCAAAGGGGGACCATGGGCTCATGGGACAGCGCGGCAGGTATCTCCTTCACAGCCCAAAGCCACATCCATGCTTCTTTAAGGAAGAGGATTCAGAAATCCTCTTGACTACTACCTTTAAAAAGCCCTACCTTGGATTGCATATTCACATAGTTCAGATGCTACTGTATTTTCAAATAACTTGGCACAAAATAGTTGCTCACCCAGAAGAATTTTATCAGTGTTTGCTCTTCATAATCTGCTTTTTTTTTTTTTGTTTGAAACCTCCCAGTTCCCAGTGCAGAAGCAGCACCACGTGCCCCACACCTCTACTCGGGCAGCGGGGATAACACGGGAAGTATATACATTCTGTTTTGCCCAGAAGTCAAAGCCATTCTTGCTCGTAATGCAAAATTTTAATTAAAAAGTTACATCCACACATCATACTGTCCACATATCGGAGTAATAAATGTTAATCCATTATGCAGATATGCATTTTCTGGCTTTTAAGGATGGGATTTTCCAAAGGGCTCACCATTACTCCGATGCAGATTTGGGAATCCCACCCATCTACTGCCACTGCTCTGCCATAGGATTGTGGTCTTTATTTATAAAAGCCTTCTTTTCTTTTCTGTTTCCTTTTCTTTTTGTCTTGCCAAACATGCAGAAGTAAAAAAATGATTTATGAACAATTCAATTAGAAATTATTCAACTTTTAAAAATTAGTACATTATGACCCATCTAAGCCATACCATGACCTACGTACTTCTCTGATTTGTATATGCCCATAAGTTCTCTAACCATCAATATCTTTGAAAGTATTTTATTGGCTTAAGCAGATGCCCTGAGACACACAAGTCATATTTCATCCAACAGCTTCAGTTTTCTCAGCAGGCGTTCCTGCAACTTCAGTAGGAGTCACAGACTTTACGTTTTTAGAATAAAAATGCAGATTATAAAAAAAAAGCATCTCTCAGAATATTTCGCCTAACTTTTCTCAGCATAAACAAAGTACTCATGCCCCAAAAGAAAGCAGCAGAATAAGAAAGACATTTAATTTTGATGCTGTAAAAAATAAAACACTTTGGTTTTACATATTCTTTTTCTCAAAGACAAAAAACATTAAAATATCTTTACTCTGAATACATTTTGCTTAGTTAAAAACAATAGCCCCCACCAACCACCCCCACCAAAAGCCAAAGCATTTTTCAATGGAAATTTTTCTTTCTTCCATGGAAATAGTTGGTGGGAAATAAGGTTCTGACAACCTCTTTCTCATACCATGACACTGAAATCTGCCTAATGCAGCAACTGCAAGTAAATATGTTCCTTAAAATATACCCACCGCCGGGGCTGGGGGTTGGTGGCACGTCCCACTGCCACTGATTGCAGTCACTGCCCTCTGACATCACTGGGAGAAGAAGGGTGGGGAGGAACCTCCTGATCACAACTATAATCCCCAAATCCCTGCCTCAGATTAAAGTCCTCCTTTGTACGCAAACAGACATTAAAAAAATGTCATTTCACAACTTTACTGGGAGGTGCTGGAGTGTTTCTTCAGCCCTAAATACATCAGAGGCTTTGGGAGAAAGCCATCTTACGGATACCCACCACCCCTCCTCCCAAATACAAGGAAAACAATGCTTTCAATTTGTATTTCCATGGGATTATTTTTGTTTTCAGGAAAGCAAAGGCTGGGCCAGGAGCTACTGGAGGCAAGAAGCATTTGCCGCCTTCATGATAAACACAGAGGACGTACTACATGAAAGTCCCTTTTTGGGCCAGAAAAGAGAAAGTGACTTCTGCTCCTTCAGTTAAGGAAATTACCTGAAGCATTTTTGAGCTTATGCATCTCCCCTGACCTCTTCCTTCTATTCAGAAGGGATACGACCACACTGCAGACCTCAACGCCCCGTGAGATACACCCAATCTTATTTTGAATGATCCAGACTGGGCTCTAGCCACAGCCAGGAGGAGATCTCTAGATGCTGCAAACCAGCTCACACAAGAAGCTACACCGTACCTTTAAAGCTCCTCTACAACGTGGCTCCAGCTCATGTCTGAAGTTCCATTACTCCCTTCCTACCTTCTGATTTGAAAAATAATTAAGAACCCAAAATACCCTAAAAGAGCACCAAAAAATGACAGAAAGAACCAAAAGAA